ACTGCCCGCCTGCCCCCTGTCCACCTTCTCCACCTGCCACTCTGACCCACCTTCTCACTGAACCACCTTCTCACCTGCCCTGCCGACCTCTGCCCCACCCCTGCCTACCTTCTCACCCTGCCCACCTAACCCACTGCCCTGCCCTGCCCACCTGTCAACTTCTCACCCTGCCCACCTTCTCACCTGTCCACCTTTCTCACCACCTGTCCACCTGCCCACCTTCTCACCTGCCCACCTACCCACCTGCCCACCTGCCCACCTTCTCACCTGCCCAGCTGCCTACCTGCCCACCTTCTCACATGCCTGCCTACCCACCTGCCCGCCTGCCCACCTGCCCGCCTACCCACCTGCCCACCTGCCCACCTTCTCACCTGCCCACCTGCCCACCTTCTCACCTGCCCACCTACCCACCTGCCCACCTGCCCACCTTCTCACCTGCCCACCTGCCCACCTGCCCACCTGCCCACCTGCCCACCTGCCCACCTGCCTGCCTGCCTGCCCACCTGCCCACCTGCCCACCTGCTCACCTACCCACCTACCCACCTGCCCACCTGCCCACCTGCCCACCTTCTCACCTGCCCACCTGCCCACCTTCTCACCTGCCCACCTTCTCACCTGCCCACCTGCCCACCTTCTCACTTGCCCGCCTACCCACCTGCCCACCTACCCACCTGCCCACCTGCCCACCTTCTCACCTGCCCACCTACCCACCTGCCCACCTGCCCACCTTCTCACCTGCCCATCTGCTTGCCTGCAGCCTCCCTGGCCTGTTGTGAGGCCGGAGTGAACAGTGCACACAAAGCGGCTGTCGCCCGTGCCTGGGCACAGTGCAGACCCACGTCCAGCCACTGTCATGCCAAGAATTAGTGCATCCCCCGCCCTCCAGGTAAAATATGCCTTTGGAGTCAGTATCGGGCTGACTGGAGCAAACACTCTGACTCCCTGAAGCAGAGAGAGTTGGCACAGGCCAGGCCCCACTCCCTCCTCCCCCAGCAGAGCCGCCTGTGGGAGAGCGTGGCCAGCCTGCCAGCACTGAGCCAGCGCTTGGGGCCTGGGGATGCTCACAGTTGATCTTGAACTTCTTCGGATTCTCAGTCTTCTCTTCAAGGACCTTCTTCTCAACACAGCTGTTGTTCTCCCTGCAAGGTGGTGACAATAGAATGAGTGGCCACTTGAATTGGAGTTGCCCTCACTGTCATCCCTAAAATCAGGTCACCACAGGAACTTCCCCGGGTCCCAGGAGCACTGCAGCCCACAGCCGCCCGACCTTCTCCTCAGTCTGACCTGGGGCTGCACTGTGTGGTTGGCTGTTGGCCCAGAGCCTGGGGCAGGGGCTCCAAGGGGACAGGGAACATCTGGAGCCCGGGTTTTCCACCCCACCCTCATGCAGGGGCCACAGTGAAGCCCCTGGCGTCAGAAAATGCCTGGGGCTGAGTCCAGCTCCGCTCACCCCACCCAGTCCTGGACCCCTGCAGGGGGAGACTGAGCCCCCACCTAGCCCCAGTCCCAATGACTAGGAACCCACCATCTGTGCAGAACGATCTCCAGGTGGTCCTCGGGGGTGGGCCACAGCGAGGTGACGTGGACCCTCAGAGCAGACTTCACCGTCACCATGAGGGAGATGTTGTTGGTGGCCATGGCCGTGGAGTGCCAGGCCCCTGCCAACTGAGGGGGCCTTGGGCTGCACGGGGTTCCCCCCAACCATGGCTCTCGTGGCAACCGGTGCAGGCGGGGTGGAGTCTAACTGGGATGGGTACAGTGAGCACTGGATGGTGGTCTGTTGTCTACCAGACACTGGGCTATGGAAATTCACCAGTATGTGTTAACTCAGGAGTGTTCCAAAGCCCAAATAATGAGTCACCTAGGATGCTGGGAAACCAGAGAGGCCACCCTAAAGATGGAGAGCAGGGCTGAGGGGTTCCTGATGTCAGGGCATCCATTCTGAGCCTCCTGTAGGTTTCTGAGACTCTGGGCTTCCCGCCTGCCCGCAGCTCCCACCCACCCCAGGCTTCCCACGGTAAAGCGCCCGCTCCCCCAGCCTCAAACCTTTGGGAGCTCCAGGTTCTGCTTGGTCTGGGGGATGTCTGTGGCCTGGACACTACAGACCAGGGCCATGCCCAGGGTGAGCAGGAGGCATGGCATGGCTGCAGCTTTGAGTGGCTCTGAGCTCTTGAGCGAGAGGGATGCTGAGGCAGTGTGGGCTTGGGGGGCCTTATGTAGGAGGAGGGCAGATAAAAGCCCTGCCCACAGCCTTGCCATGTGATTCCTCGAACCCGTGACTCATCCTCAGCCCGTGGGGCAGCTTCCTCCACTGGGACAATGGGAGGCTCTTCCCTACGTCCACCCGGGAACCTCCTCTGTGTCCGGGCTGGGCAGTTCCTGGCAGGGCCTCAGGTGGGAGGGGCCTGGGTCGGGTCCAGGCTGGCAGCCAGTGATGGGAGCACCTTCTGGGACGGGGCTATGTTGGGTCAGAGGCCAGCACTGAGGACAGCTGTGCCCAGGGCAGGAGTATGGCCTGTGGGGCAGGCAGAGGGCCTGAGAGCCCCATGGCCGCCCCAGGATGCCACAGATGTCATGCCAGTGGGTGGCTGTCTGCACGATCATAATCCTGACCTGTACCTTCCACTTAGCCATCCCCAGGCGTGCACACCTGTGCCCCTCAAACAGCCAGCCTCTGGACAGGTGCATACTGCGTGCTAGCACTGTTTCTCTCTGACTCACAGGCAAGACGGGGTGGAAACGGGAGGCCGTGGACTTTCAGACTTTGTCCCACAGTCTATATTGGAAGCACTTTTTCCCACAGGGAAGCATCACTTTATAACTTACAATCGAGCCTGTATCTCACTCCTGGAGAGCACCTGAGTCCTGAGGCAAGACACGGGTGTCCACTCCCTCTCTCCCATCCGTCAGAGCAGGTCATCCCAGCCAGGGCAGCTAGGCAAGAAATGGTAACTAAAGGCATGCAGATTGGGAAGGGGGAGGTATACCTGTCCCTATTCGCATATAACATCATTGCCCGGATACAAAATTGCAAGAACTCTACAAAACCCCTCCTAGAACCGAGCGAGGTCAGCAAGGTCAATCGCACAAAAATCCATCGTGTTCCCACAGTGTCAAGGAGTACACAGAACCCGAAACTGGAAATTCAGGATTTGTAATCACACATATAGCATGGAGGCACGAATCTCAGCAAATATGGACAGGGCTTAAACTCTGAACCCAATGAAGGAAATCAAAGACCTAAGGAAATGGACAGGCACGATGTGTTCATGGGCTGGAAGGTTCAACACAGCAAAGATGTTAGCTCTCCCCAACTCAACCTAGAGATTTAATGCAATTCCTATGAAATTATCAGGAAGATATTTTGTAGACAGATAGCTATTTTGTAGATAGATATAGATATATGTGTGTCTCACACACACACACATATATAATATATATTTTATATATAACATATTATATATGTTATATATATATTTATTTATTTATTTTGAGGCACAGTCTTGCTCTGTTGCCCAGCCTGGAGTGCAGTGGCACAATCTTGACTCACTGCAACCTCTGCCTCCCAGGTTCAAGTGATTCTGCTGTCTCAGCCCCCCGATTAGCTGGGATGATAGGCTCCCACCACCACACCTGGCTAATTTTTGTATTTTTAGTAGAGAGGGGGTTTCACTATGTTGGCCAGGCTGGTCTCAAACCGCTGACCTCAAGTGATCTGCCCAACTCGGCCTCCCAAAGTGCTGGCATTACAGGCATGAGCCACCGCACCCCACTGTATATAGATATACAGACAATTTTTTTTCCAAAATCTGTATGTCAGGGCAAAGGAGCTACAATAGCTAAAGCCATTTTGAAGAAGAATAAAGTATAAAGAGTTAGTCTACCCAAGTTGACAAGCACTATTATCAGTAGTAACCAAGAGAGTGTGGTATTGGCAGAGAAATGGGCACATAGATCAGTGAGAAATAGAAAACCCAAACACGGACTCACACACCTACAACAACAGACCTTTAACAAAGCTGCAAGAACAGTGCGTGGGGGAAGTGCTGTCGGAAAAGAGGGTCCTGGTGCAGACCCCAAGAATGGGTTCTTGGCTGTCACACAGGAAGGAATTCAAGGTGACTCACAAAGCACAGTGAAAACAAGTTAATAGGAAATGAACTCCGTGCCAGAGCCGGGCAACCTCAGCGAGCAGGAGGAGGGACGCCCGCCCTCTGTGAGTGTGTCTGCTTGTAAGGAAGCTATAAGGTGCGCCGGTGCGCGTGGGCAAGCCTTGTAATCCCAGCACCTTGGGAGGCCGAGACGGGCGGATCACGAGGTGCAGATGACAAGACCATCCTGGGCTAACACAGTGAACACCCGTCTCTGCTAAAAAAAAAGTACAAAAAACTAGAGCCGGTGTGGTGGCGGGGCCTGTAGTCCAGCTACTCGGGAGGCTGAGGCAGGAGATGGGCGAACCCCGGGAGGCGGAGCTTGAGTGAGCTGAGATCTGAGCCACTGCAACTCCAGCCTGCGGACAGAGCGGGGACTCCGTCTCAAAAAAAAAAAAAAAAAAAAAGAACTATAAGAGGGCTTACAGTGAAACCTGCATCGTCGACTGCACTTGCAAAAGATAGAGGGCTCCTTAGTGTGATGGATGGACCATCCACCCTTCAGCCTCAGCCTGCTCGTGGACGTTACCTGTGAGCAAAGACAGCCTCCTGCACTCCCAGGTCATCGGGACGCTCTGCAGGCTTGGTGGGAGATGCCCCGTTTGGGCATAAATGTTTTGCAGTTATAATTGGTGGTCAGCTTAGAATGTGGCTATTTTCAGACCATTTAAGCACGTGCCTGTAATCCCAGCTACTCGGGAGGCTGAGGCATAAAATCGCTTGAATCTGGGAGGCGGAAGTTGCGGTGAGCTGAGATCCCGCCACTGCATTCCAGCCTGAGTGACAGAACGAGACCCTGTCTCAAAAACACAAAGCAAACAAACAAACAAACAAATAAAAAAAACCCAAGAAGGCCGGGCGCGGTGGCTCAGGTCTGTAATCCCAGCACTTTGGGAGGCTGAGGCGGGCGGATCATGAGGTCAGGAGATCGAGACCATCCTGGCTAACATGGTGAAATCCCGTCTCTACTAAAAATACAAACAAAATTAGCCGGGCGAGGTGGTGGGTGCCTGTAGTCCCAGCTACTCGGGAGGCTGAGGCAGGAGAATGGCGTGACCCCGGGAGGCGGAGCTTGCAGTGAGCCAAGATCGCGCCACTGCACTCCAGCCTGGGCGATAGAGTGAGACCCTACCTTCCTCAAAAAAAAAAAAAAAAAAAAAAAACCAAGGAAATTAAAACAGCCCCACAGGAAGCCAGCGTGGTCAGCTCCCCCAGGGTTCCCAACCATGGACATAGCCTGCTACCTGTTACCACCACGCTGAAACTCATGTGCCTGTGAGACCAACCCAGGTACTGGCCACATCATGCTCGCTGATGGGGGTGGTGGTGTCCTTTAGGCAGAGAAACAGAAATTGTGTGTAGTCAGTATCGAGCAGCACACAACCAGCCTCCGTTATATAACCTTACAGGTGCCTTCTGAGTGTCTAGCTATTCATGTTAAGATGGAGTCACTCTGGTCATGTTTTATTAAACCAGAGGCCTGGCAAGCAGGAGTCCCTCTAAGAAAAGGACAGTCTTTGCAACAAATGGTGCTGGAGCAATTCATCACGTGCAGTCGATCCCATGCAAACAAAGAACCTCCATCTAAAACCTCACACCTGACATATGCATTCACTCATAGTTTAAATAAAACAAAAAACTATACAACTTTTAGAAGAAAGCGTAAGAGAAAATCTTCAGGACTTAGGGCTAGGAAAAGAATTCTTAGACTTGACACCACATGCAAGATCCACAAAAGAAAAAAAATTGATAAATCATACTGCATCAAAATCTGAAACTCTTGCTCCAGAAAGACCTTGTTAAGAGGATGAAGACGGCTGGGCGTGATATGGTTTTTGCCCATTTTCTTTCTTTTTTTTTTTGGACGGAGTCTCACTCTGTCACCCAGGGGCTGGAGTCAGTGCGGATCTCAGCTCACTGCAAGCTCCGCCTCCCGGGCGTTGACGCCATTCTCCCTGCCTCAGCCTCCCGAGTAGCTGTGGACTACAGGCGCCCACCACCACGCCCGGCTAGTTTTTTTGTATTTTTAGTAGAGACGGGGTTTCACAGTGTTGTTAGCCAGGATGTCTCGAATTCTCCTAGACCTCGTGATCCGCCGTCTCGGCCTCCCAAAGTGCTGGGATTACAGGCACGTGAGCCACCGCGCCTGGCCTGTTTTTGCCCATTTTCTAGGTGGATTTTATTTTTGCTGTTGAGTTTTCAAAGTTCTTTATATCTTCCAGACACCAGTCATTTTGTTGGATATGGAACTTTTAAATGTTTTCTCCTCGTTTGTAGCTTGTTCTCTCATCCTCTTTTTTTTTCTTTTTTTTTTTTGAGATGGAGTCTTACTCTGTCACGCCAGGCTGGAGTGCAGTGGCGTATCCCAGCTCACTGCAATCTCTACCTCCTGGGTTCAAGTGATTCTCCTGCCTCAGCCTCCTGAGTAGCTGGGATTACAGGACGTGCCACCAGGCCTGGCTAATTTTGTATTTTTAGTAAAATGGTGTTTCACCATGTTGGCCATAGGTGGTCTCGAACTCCTGACCTCAGGTGTACCACCCACCTCGGTGCCTCCCAGAGTGCTGGTGTTCAGGTGTGATCCATCACAGCCCAGCCGTCTTCATCCTCTAACTAAGGTCCTTTGTCTGAGCCAAGAGTTCAGTATTTTGATGCAGTATATATTTGATCAATTTCTTTTCTTTTGGTGGATCGTTGCATTGTGTGTCAAGTCTAAGAATTCTTCCCTTAGCCCTAAGTCCCTGAAGATTTTCTCTTACGCTTTCTTCTAAAAGTTGTATAGTTTTTTTATTTAAACTATGACGTGAATGCATAACTGTCAGGTGTGAGGTTTTTAGATGGGGTTCTTTGTTTGCTATGGGATCGACGCCTGTGGTATGAATTGCTCCAGCACCATTTGTTGCAAAAGGAATGTCCTTTCTTAGAGGACTCCTGCTTGCCAGCTCTCTGGTTTTAATTAACTGAATGACCAGCAGTGCGACTCCATCTTAACATGAATAGGCTAAGACACTCGAAGGACCGTTAAGGTTATATAACGAGGGGCTGTGTGTGCTGCTCGATACTGACTAGCACAAATTTCTGTTTCTCTGCCTAAAGGACACCACCACCCCCATCAGGAGCATGATGGTGGCCAGTACCTGGGTGTGTTCAAGGCACATGAGTTATACGTGGGTAACGGTAGCAGCTATCCATGG